CATAGCTGTCCGGAGTGACAAGGTCTCATTAGTCTGCCATAGCCTAGACCTGTGAAGGAGGAAGAGGAAGGTGGCCATGGCTATGGTGGACCTCATATGGAAGCCTGAAGTAGAAGAGGGATTCGGACATTGATTCTGGTTCTGCTGTTCAATTTATTGTTGTTCTTTCATGAGTTGAATAAGAGAGGAAGAGATAAAGAGGAGGAGGTTGTTGAGCGAAGAAGAAGAGCTTTGTTTTGGTCTATGCCGAAGTACATCTTCTTCTTCTTCTCTAATTCTTCTTCTTCTTCTTTCCCTCTCTCTCCTTTCAAGTTCTTTCATTTCATTTTGCAATTGGATGGAGTTGAGCTCAAGTTCAATTATTTCTTTTGCATTTGGGCAGCATTGTACTTTCTGATGGTTGTGGACTTCAAAATTGGCCAGGATCGTAACATATGCAATAAATTAAACATAGAAAACCGGTTTAACAAGCCGTCTAAAACAAACAAAGCCCACAAAAGCAGACCTAAGCAAATAAAGCAGAACAAAGCAGAACAAGAAACAAAGCGAAAAAGAGTGACACAACAAACCAAAGAGAGAAGAAAAATTGATTGGACAATGGAACACTGAAGGGTGGCCGTGAGGGGAAACAGACGAAGGAGAACAAGCAAAAAAGAAACAATAACAAATTGTTGAGCGAACAGGCCTACGGTCCTTTGAATGGAAAGAATAGCTGAAGATGGGAGGGACACGAGGAGGGACAGCTAACGGAATCACAAACGAAGCGGAAGGAACGGGTGAACATATTGAACAAGCCACTACTTTGTCGGCGTTGTCACCAGTCTTCCCATTCCATTCTCCCCCTGCTCAACTCCAGAACCTCCTAGGCTGGATTTCATAAAATGTGATTCCCCCTTGCTGGTTTCCGACACCTCGTCCCCCCCCTCTATTACCACGAAACTAGCAAAGCAGAGATCTTCTGCGTGCTAGATTGTTCATGATTGAACTTGCAGCAAGTGTCCACTCACCAGTTCCACAGCGATTGTTAGCCTTTTCGCTTGTTCTATCGAAAGGCCTCCATCCCCTCTTATACCCACCAGATGGTTAGCAATGGGGTGAAGATCAAGCAAGTCCATCACCTGCACAATCAATCAAGTGTTGAGCACAATGCAATGAAAAATCTTCAGAAGCTCACGATCAAATCTCAGATGAACTCACAAGGCTCAACTCAATGATAACAACAACTTAGCCCTGCAACGAATAACAAGACTATGGTGGCCTTCTCCCTCAATCCCTAACCTCAAGAGCACCAGTGCCACACTCTCTCTCTATGATAAACTGCAAACAGAACAAAGTCTTGGAAAACGACTGTCGGTCGTCGTCCTCCGTTTTGGAGTCTTCTCCTCCAGGTAGCAATGACCACCAGCCTACAGGAAAGCTTCCTCCTCCTACTTGTTAACCCTCCTTCAATGGTTACATTCCCCAAATGTTAGGCTCCAGGCTTCATCGTGTCCCAAATTGGCCACCCAGGAAAAGAGAAGGCCAGGCCGCCCTGAGTGAAGGCGGGCCCCAGCCTCCAGTTAGTTACAGAGGCGGGGACCCAGACAGAATCCAGTGGGCAGTTGGGACCCAGAACCACGGCCTCCAGAAGAAACAAACGGAGAGAGACCGCTGGGCAGAGGACATTCACGAATTGGCAGCATGTGTTATGAACCTGGTTGTTTGTTGTCAGAAGACCAACACTCGCTCACATAGACTTCCAGGTATGCCCATACATACACAGAAGGAAGGGGAGAGGATGGGAGTATGACACCGCACAGA